AAAATAAGCACAGCACCCTCTACCCTGCTTTTTTCAATTTCAGATTAACGGGAATAACTTGATTAAAGATTTTATTGCTATTTCCGTTAATTTGAAATTGAAAAAAGTAGGGTAGAGGGTGCTGTGTTTATTCTCCATATTTTACGGTAATTTTCACATCCAACGCATAATTGACCCTGATCAAATCGACACCCTAACTTAAATAAATATCGAGCACGTGATCGAAGGGTATATCGTAATTTTACCAGCTTTGGACCTAAAAAATTTTAAGGTCGAATGCAAATATTCAAAATTTTAGCAGATTCGTATAACATACTGTCTTTAGCTTGTAGCAAATACATCATAACATGAATTTAAATGTTGTGCCAAAATTTTCCAATTAGGCCAATCTAATTCTTAACCATCCAACTATATTTATTTAATTTGGATTGGTTGCCTGGTTAAATGCTATTAAAATCATTAGGTTACTGTACATGAGTAATAATACATAGATTATTTTAATACACAAAAAATAAGTTGAGAAACAAGAAATTTACAATTATATTATTCACCAAATCTTTGTAAATTAATCAGAACATCTATTCCACTCAATTTGTTAGCTAATGTCATTATAAATTCAGATGTACCATTATCAGGTGCTGAATGTTTTTCAGTAAATGTAACGACAAACATTACATGATCATCAATTTGAATGAAATAATAAGCACAGCCTGTATTCTTGTCAAAAGAATGTATTGGAAAACTTCTTGTAAATGGTGTCTGATTCTTTTCATTCTTTTCTTGAAGTAATGATATTGTATTTTGTAAATGTTCTTTTGATTGCTCCTAATACAAAAATATGATTAATGTAACTTAAATTTTATTAATATTATTTTAAATAAAGATAAATTACCTCTGGAAAGGAAAATATGCATGGAAAAGAATCTATTCCTGTTGGTTTTTCATATTGTGCAGTAACGCAAGAATACCCATCTTGACAAAATGGTACATTCTCACTAATCTCATATATCAAAGCTATACTATGTGCACTTGATCGACCTCGAAAATTTCGTATTCTGGGTTTAATCGAACAAATTAAATTTTAAAATAATAAAATCTTTAGAAAATATGAATAAATTAAAATAGTCATATTTACAGCCCATGGTAATTATAATCATCTGAAAATTTTCTCCATAATGTTTTAGAATCACCACCAATCTTTTTCTCTCTTTCTAAAAGAATATTCATGAAATATAATGTCATTTTGGCAGTGAGATTAGTTAAAAACTTGTCAAGCCATTGCATGTTGTTAGGTGATGCATTGGCACGTTTGACATTTTTCGCTTGTCTCTGCATTGATTTTATTAACATATGTAAAAAAAAAATTAAACCGAAAAATTATATAGATTAAATTGTTAAAATATTGTGTTTAATGACTTACTTCTTGACCAGTAAAGAAATTTTGAATTGCAACGAATGGACCGACAGGTTCTTCATTTTTATTTGATTTCTAATTTATGAGTAATTATAACTAATAAGAAAATGATAATTGGATCAAAATCAAAAGGTTTAAATAATTACCTCAGGGTAAGTTTGATTTGAACAAACCTCTCTCCAAGAAGAAAGTGAAGTTTTTGCGGTATAAAGAAAAATTGATGAATCTTTAAAATTATATGAGGTAATAGCCTTACGCGCCATAAAAAGGTATTTTAAAGTAATTAATTCTTTTCTAATTTTGAAGTTTTACGAAATAAATATGTAATTAAATTTAAAAAATAATTAATTTAAATAATTAATTGATTATTGAGAAGTGAAACTTACTCTGCACCAATACCTAAAGGGCCTAAATCTTCGCAAGATTTTTTTTCAACATCTTTTGTTATGATTGATTCAATTTCGTGAAGAATATGTTCAGAGTTAATATCCGAAAAAGAATTTGGCATAGAACGATATCTAAAAGAAATAATAATTAATATATAAATTAATAATTAATAATTAATACCAGAATATATTATAATCAAAATTTAATATATTAAGCCTACATCGCTATCTGAGCCCGCCTAATCATTATAAAATTTATTAAACTCTGAAATAATTTATTAAGGTAATCTGAATCGATTTGATCTCCGTTGTTACTAGTATTGGTTAATAGTGGAGACCTAATCAGATTCGTTATTGAATTTGTAACGTCAGTATTTGAATACTTTTTTAGTATTCAAATGATTGATGAATTGGTTTAAATTCGTAATTTTATTTCGGTAAATTCATTGAATAATCACAAAATCTAAAAAGTAAATGACTCGTAATATGTCAAACTTACGTCCTCTCTACGGAAAAATTTTGTTTTCAGATATTCTAATGAAGTATAAGATTGTTCACATTTAGTAATAGTTAAAAGGATTGAACCGATTGTAGGATTTGTCTAAAGTTCAGAAATGAAATAATTAATAAAAATATCATGATGCTCAAAGTATTGTATAGCACATCAAGTTTTATAATAAATTAATATGAATAGTAGCAAGGGAAAGCCTGGACATTTTATTTTATTTAACAAGAGTTTCAGGTTTTCTCTTGGAAACATTCATAAATGAAAAAGTTTACATTTTAATTTTTCTATTTAATTTATTTTTATTAATAAGAATGTAAACTTTCAGATATTTTTATAAAAAATTATGCGATACTTTCAACCGATAATGTATCTAAATTCAGAATTTCGTAAACGAACATTTGCGAAAGTTACTTTTGTAATTCTACTGGCAATTTTATTTGCTGCACTATAATCAAAGCAGCCAAGCGCTTGAAAGTATTCTTTCATTTCTTTCATTGTTTATTTGTTTGGAAAAAAAATAAAAGATAAAAATGCAAATTACAAAAGAATATGTTTATATTTAAAATTTCATCGACCAATAGGAAGTAAACTTCTCACAAAAAATGGTACCCTTCACGTGATAAAATTTCAAATGTGTAACACAAAAATTGCATAGCCTTATGTTATCGGCTTTGATAAATATATATATATTAATAAAACCATTAACATTAATTGATAGAATCGAACAAACGTCTGAAATTATATAAATAACATGATTTTTTTAATAATGTACAATGAATGCGAGGCTAACCCTCTCAATGATAATGAATGTTGAGGAATAGCATTAATTAAATTATTGACTTTACAGTAAGATGACGTAATGTATTAATTCAAATTAAAAATTTATCATTAATGTTAATGCTTCCCAAATTTTCCATTTTCAATCTTTTCAGCGGTATCTTCAACAGTATCTTCAAAATTATTCAAATCATTTTCACCTTTAATATCTGCCATAATACTAACATCGCAGAAAAATTGTTTTAAAAATTGTTCTAAATAATTTATACGTTCAGTTAAAGTTTCATCATCACTTGGTCGTTCGAGTAATGGAATTGATTTTGGATATTGTTTGTGAAGTTCTTTCTTTATACGACGACGCAAAAAGAAGCTTTGACAGAGACCCCATGGATGAACCGGAGAAAATCCTATTATAAAAATTTTGTTATTACGTATAATTACTATTATAATTACTATAATTAGTAAAACTTGGTTAAAATTATATATAACTCACCGAACAATAATATATATATTCCGATAAGAAGACCATAGAAACCTGCGAGCAAACTAAGAGAATCCGTAATCTATAGTTTTAAAACCATATAATTAATGACCAAATATTACAAAATAACAAAAAATAAAAGTATAAATGTAATGAGTAAAACTTACTCGGAGCGACCTGAGTTTACGTGATATTGAAAAAAAATAAAAGATGAATATAGCGATAGTAATTTTTATAAGACAAACCCAAGATTTCAGATTAATATCCTGGTCAGCTGGGCCATTATTGGCATTATATACCAATTTCGCTGATTCCGTTCAAACCTCAGAATTTAAGATTCTTAATCAAGTTCGCAGTAAAACTACGTAATTAATAATATAATAAAAAGAATTAACTATGTCTTAAATTTTGGGGTTTGAACAAAATCGGTGGAAATGAATTAATAATATCTATAGCAAAATTATGATCTTGAGTAGAATTTATTAATATCGCCTGGCCAACCAAGATTACAACTCGAAATTTTGGGAATGATTTATGATTAGGATGCGAATATTTTATGGTAAAAAATACTAACTTTCCCTCCGTTTCTACATTTACGAACCAATTCATTGTTCCAACAAATAAATTAGCATATAATTGTTGACCAGTAATAGACTGATTAGCAAAGACTGGTTGTGTATTTGGGGGATTTGTTACAGATTCTAATTATGTCAGATTGATAATAAAAAATTCATTAATATATATGTATATAATTTCAAAATAATTTAAAAGAATATATTTTAGTGGACCCAACCGTAGTTTGAAGTAATATATTTCTCATCAAAAATTTGCGGTGGAATTCCTAATAAAGTCCAAAAATTTGAAATTTCTTTTTTTCTAATATGTCTGGTTATAAACATCCAATTCATCTTTTAAAAAATAAATTATTTATTATTAGCATTAAAATTTTATCATCAATATATATCATTATAAGAATTAATTAACATAAATTTAGTATGCATACTTGTTGAAATCCAATAACGTGTAAGTTCAAATCATCAAGTGATTGATAGAATTCACCATCTATATCATTTGCTGACTTATTAACGCTCAAAGGAACAGTAAGAGGATTAAATTCCGAATCAAAAGCTTTTATCATCATCCCTTTATCATTTGTTCGATCGTATCTTGGATCATCAATATTTATTGTAAAGTACATCGCGTATCGTTTCTCTGTCTGATTAAATACAAGGTCTTCTGTCGCTGTAAAGTATCCGTGCCAACGATCATCTGAGGTTACATTATTACATGATGGTTGAAGGACATATTGTGAACATTCTTGGGATGTTGATTCGCTACCATCTAAATCGAAATAATAACAGTTGAATGAAATGTAATAAAATCATGTTAAAAAAAAAAATTTAAAAGATTGAATATTTACCAGTAAATCGAAACACACAAGAAATATTAAAATGATAATTGAATGTAAGCTCCAAATCTAAATTAAAAAAAAATTTTTTTTAGTTGGCCGGAAATAATATTGGTCTTTACATTCATCTTACTTTTTCATTGGCATTCGAAATTAATTTACTAACCTGGAATAGGAATTGTCGTAGAAGGTTGTAAACTACTTTTAATAACATCACCATCAGTCGCCAATAAATACGTTAAAATAGCAAAATATCCTCCTAACAAAACTAAAAGAACCAATATTGTTATTCCTCTTGCTCCTACTAGAAATGCTGGTTCCGTATTTCGATATTTTCGGAAAACATCTCTTGATTCATATAAAGCCTCCATTTTTTTTTTCCTTTTTTATAAGCTACTATATATTATACAAATATATATATGATCACTTCGAACTGATATAAGGAAGCCGCTTCGCAAAAGAAAGAAGAAAACGGCAAGGCGTATAGAATTTTTTTCCAAAGCTTCAAAAGAAAAAAATTTAGGAGCGCATGCATGCATTAATTTGCAGCAATAAAAAGGGATTTAAATTATTTAAAATTCCCTTTTTTTCATTGAGAATTGATACACAAATTGTATATTGTACCAATGACGCAAATATTTTGATAATATATTGTTAGGCATTACTTTTGACTACCTTGTCTTGTCAACGCGCATATGGAAAGTTCATAATAGATTAATAGTTGACCATATTTAGGTTTTTCAAAAAGGATATGCTAAATTACTTCCAAATTTTTAGATGTACCCCCTTAAGGTCATGTACTCTTTTAGAAAGGATATACACCTAGAGATCAAAAGCGTTTATTTAGAGGTTCCTCACTTTGAGGTTTACTATATTAGATTAATTCATAATTCACTGTGTCCGATCGAATGCGTCGTACGTGCAAGAGCCGTGGATATTTAAAATTATCCAAAATTGAAGTATATATATAATATGTAGATAAATTAATATTAAAACCATCTATATAGTAAATTAGTAAATTGGTTTTCTTTAAGGGTAGAGGATACGTAGATCATTTGGGCTGCCGTCAATAGAAATCAAGCAGATCTACAAAAATCTAATTTTGAGATAATTGATGTTTTATGTAATGTTACACAAAAAGATCTTCAAATAAACAGTTTCCGACCTTAATTCCGATCCGGATCGGAAAAAGTAGATCGCTATAATGATAACTAATAAATATAACTGATAAGTACCAGGTACAAACGTACACGCATACGTATATATATACGAACATACACTGAACAATGTACGTGCCCAAGCATAAGATTTACCTTCTCTCTTTTATTATTTATTTATTTATTTATTTTTAAAAGTAACCATACTTTTAGAGATTAGAAACATGTATCCCAAAGTTGTCAAGAACGATCCTCTCAAGGAAGTTGTTAATTGAAATTATTGTAATTATTTTTAAACAGAATAAACCATTTTAAATTAAATCATATATGATAATGATAGTAGTATTGTTAGTAATGATTTTATAAACAGTTGTAAAAATTTTCATTAATGCAAATAATGATTTATAAAATATAACTTTTATTTATAATGTGAATTGAATTTTTACTTTTTTCATATATTTTAGGCTTCCACATCATGAGCTATTAGTAAGTATTATTAATCTCTAGTTAACACGAGATTATTAATTCTGTTCAAGTTACCATTGGCCACTGTATACAGTACCCGGAGTCTTATTCAAAAACCCTATTTTTAAAAATTGAATAGTATCCGTGGGATGTGTGAAGAACCGGGTATTTATATTTTGGGAATATTATATTAAAAGCATAAATCAATGTTATATCACCGGGTTTTATTCAAGAAACAGGATGATGAGTAATACCCGGGTCTTAATCATGATGGGTATTATTTTGGGGGAATACTGTATAAAGTGGTCAATAGTAGATAGCTAGTTGGTTGTAGGTTCCGGATTAGTTGATTAGTAGGCATAGTAGGCTAATTTGTTAATGATTTTTTATATTAAGTTTTAATTATAAAAATATTATAGATTAGCAATATCATACCTTTGAAAGCTATAATATCATAATGAAGTCATACCGCCCAGTAAAAAAAAATCTTGATTATTCTTATCTATAATACAGAAAGATAAAGTGCCTTAAAGTAAATTTGATATAACTTAATTGAATCCTAAACTATTATTTTGTTTTGCCATCTTTTTATTTCTACTATATATGGATTGATCTTTTTATAAACCTCCAAAGTTAGGTGTGGTGGCTTAGTGAAGTGGTCAAGTCATCACCCTCTCCAAGTAGCAGGTCTAGGGTTCAAATCCCACGGACAACAAAAGTTTGAAAAATAGGCTTGCGTTATGATAACAGATCTTCATTAAGTTGGGGCTTAGATTAACCTGTAACTTCAGGTCACACCAATGCTCTGTATTGGAAAGTTG